GATCATCCATATAAATTATTATCAAGCCTTTGTTCATTAAGTTCCGAAAAATACTATAGATGTATCTTTGGAAAACACTAGGACTAGTACTCAAGCCAAATGGTACCTTATTGAATTCGAATTGGCCATCAGGAACAATAAAAGAAGTGAACTTTCGACAGTCTTCATTTACGTCAACGTGAAAAAATCCGTTCTTTAGATTCAGGGTGGTGTATACTTTCGCTTCTTGTAATCTATCAAGAACATCGTCTATTAAAGGTAAAGGGAATCTATCCTTAACAAGCTTGCGATTCAGTTGACGGTAGTCAACACAAAGTCTAGAATCTCCATTCTTCTTCTTCACAAGTACTATGGAACTAGCATACTCGGATGAACTTGGTCTGATTATTCCTTGTTCGAGCCATTCTTCGATGTGTTTGTTCACAATTTGCTTTTCCGCGTACGACAACCGACGTGCTGGTGGATAGACTGGGATGTCATCGTTAAGTATTATTCTCATCGTTACATCTGTGGATTCAGTCTTCTCAGGTTTGTACGATGAAATTATTCTGATTAGATCATTTTTCACTTGTGAGTCAAGGATGTGACTGAAATCTAACTCATCTTCAGGATGTACTCCGGTTATTCGCATTATATATAGCCATGCCATTTCCTCATGCTTATGGAACATAACACCATCTTGGGTGAAATTCAAAGAAGCTTGTCCTAAAATGTCTGCACCTATAATGGCTTCAAAATTGAGCTGCTTGGTTGGAACCAAATGCCACGTTAAAGAATATTGATCTTTGTCCAAGACAAAATCATACTCGAAGGCGCCCTTGGTTACTACTTCAGTTTGTCCTAAACCGTATAACACAGTGTTTATTTTGGATAGTCTTGAATGGTCAACAATCTTCGTTCTTACATCTTCGCGGATTAGACTAACTGTACTACCAGTATCTATAAGTGCCGATACAATTTCATTGCCTAACATAATGTTTTTTAAGTGTAGTCCTTTCTGCGGTATGACAGAGCAGCTTTGTACTTGGGAATTGGGTTGTTTTCTTTTGATCTCTTTCATTGCTTTAGGGCAATTAAAACTCAAATGATCCAAAGAATGACATATATAACATTTCCTAGGTGCTCTTCTATCAAAATCTCTACTCGGAGGAGTGTCTAAATATCTTCTTTCAGGATTGAAATTTCTCCTTGTATTGTGATTATCAAATTTTCTGAAATGCTCCGCTTGATTCGATCCCCTAACTTCAGGTCTTCGAACAGGTGTTAAAGTATGTATTTTCTGTTTCAACGTTCTACGGACATCCTCAAATTCTTCAAGTCTCTCGGCTAATTCAACTGGGCAGTTGATACTTGGCCATTCGTCTAGGTGACGTTCTTTGAATTCTACAGGGGCTCTTTTCTTCATCTGGTCGGCTATCATCAGATCCCGTAGTTTGTCAAATGTTTTTATGTCGAATCCTTCAATCCATCCATTAAAGAATGTTTGAACTTCTTGGTAGAAATCACGCCATGTTTTATCCGAACTTTTCTGATGTGTAACAAATAGCTGCCTGAAGTTCTCTGGGGTCAATTTAAACCTTTCCAAAAGCAAGGACCTCACGTAGTCATAATCCCTCGCCTCTTGTTCAGGTTCTCTAGCGATCAACTGTGTGGGGATTTCCTGTGGGAGTAGGCCTAACAGGTGTGAGACCCAAAACTCTTCGGCACATCTATCATACATGCTTGGCACTCAAACAATATTAAATATAAGCTGATATTCTCTTTCATATCAAATTTATGTAGCAGTTTGGTCAATTCATTACTAGGTGTACGATTATTCCTACTCAATATTTCCTGATTTAATCCGATCTGAGCTTCGATTCTAAATTTTTCTAACTCTAAATTATCCCGTTGTTTCCTTTTTTCTAATAATTCTCTTTCCTTTCTCTCTTCAACGATACCTTCGTACATCAATGTAGTGTCTTCCTCATCGTACCCAGCACTTTTGGTTATTAAATTTTTTAACATTGGCTTAGTCATGTCAACTGTAGCCTCTAAACCTAACTCTGTAGATAACTCTAACAAATCCTCCTTTCCCCCTTTTAAAAAAAAAGAAATCCCCCCCCCCTTTTTTAACTAAGGAGTTAAGATTTTATACAAGAATTATTGTACTGGAGAGAATAAAAGGAATATAATACTAAATACTGTGTGAAAGGTAGGGTGCTAGCTCTGCTAAATTTTACCCACACTTCTACTAAATATATAAAAGTTATGCAAATAAAATTTTCAATTAAAAATTTCCAAAACCAATGAAAAATTCAAATAATTAAATATAATGCATCAATAATTTAAAATATATCAAGTAATAAAATTTAAATTGGGATATATATAATTCAAAATTAATAGTTATTAAATGCAATTTCAGAAAGAAAGAAAAAAAATATGAAAGTATATAATAGCAAAATTAGGTAAACAATATGTTCATACAAAATTATAGAGAGGATAGAAATAACAAAAATCAATTTCGTTTCTTGAATAGTTGTACTTAGGTTCTATAGCTATCTGTGTATTTTTTGTTATGGATTATATATACTTTTATATTTGCGACTGCATTGCGCCTAAATATAGAAGAACTTTATGAATTACTTTTGTTTTTTCCATTATATATATATATAAATGCAATAACTCCCTTTAATTTCATCCTAAACAACATTTTTTTAAATGGTCCTGATCAGTGATGCACACAGGAATTATTCAGCGGGAGGGGGGATTTTCGGGAACAAAAAATAGTAAAAAAATTAATTTTAAATAAATAAATAGCATTAATTAATAAAATTAATTATTAATAACAAATACTTAATTAAATTTTACATACTATATGCATAGGACTATAATCAATCGAAAAAAAATTAAGGGCTATGGAGGGGAGTCATTACACAAGCAGACCGAACTCACTAAAAGACCTGAGAACTATTAAATACACTTATGGACAAAAAAATTAGCGCACAAAGAAGGAGTCGTCAAAATGAAACGAAATTTTACATACGTAATGACTAGTTTGATATAAGTAAATGATTAGAAAATAAAAAAAAAAGATAATTTATTTCAGAGAAAAAGTCAAAAGAACGGAGGATTTAATACCCTATTGAACCCCCTCTATATACCACGAATGCACGAAGCGATACGATCGGGCATAGATGCATACAAGTTCTGTATGATGTCTTGAGAAATTTCGTTCCATATTTGCTGTAACCTTGCCTCTGGTTCGTTCAAACTCGTGGGTTGCCCAACTGACAATCCAAAATGATCCCAGATATGCTCGATTGAAGACAAATCTGGGGATCGGGCAGGCTAAGGAAGGGTAGTAACAGTGCTGAGACAGTCTTGTAACACCCTTGCCGTGTGAGACCGAGCATTGTCTTGTTGAAAAATGGCTCCTGGGAGCCTTTGCATGAGTGGCAACACATGTGGTTGCAGGATGTCATGGGCTTACCGCTGGGCTGTGCCACGGATCAATACTAGGGGTAACCGTGTATTGTAGGCAATACCACCCCATACCATCACACCAGCTGTGGGAGCGGCGTGTCGCCGTAAAGCAAAGGCAGTATTGAGGCGTTCACCACGGGGTCTCCGCACACAAACACGATTGTCAACAGTGCTGAGATTGAATCTGGATTCGTCACTAAAGACGACCTGGTCCAAATGGAGGCGTCAAGGGCAGCACACGTAATGGGCACCGCTATCCCAAATGTTCTTCAACCAGGCGCCTCGAAAAGACACGGGGGCCCTTAGTGAAGGTGCTACCTGTACCTGGATGGCGGCCGATGAAGCAGTTGGCTGTACGTGTGCCATTTCTTACAATGTGGCGGTCTTCTCGATGACTGATCTGTCGAGGGTGTCCTGAGCCTGGTCTTCGTGTAAATGATATCTCTTGGATCCACTGGTCCCAACACCTTCTCACAACACAATCAGAGCGGCCTAATTGACGAGCTACTCGCCTAGCTGACCACCCAGCTTTCAACATGCCGATGATTCTCCCTCTCTCAAACTGAGACAGCTGCTCATATTGTCTTCGAAAACAGCGTAATGGCATGTCTACCTCAGCTCTTTCTTTGTAAACGATTCAGCACACTCAAACAGGCTTTGGTTACCTGTTTTATACTCCACGAAGAACGACGCTAAATGCCCTTTACCGGCTATACATAATGCGCAATCACGTGGCATTTCTAATTATTTGCGTACCTCCCGATATGTACCTTCATGCCAAGTTTCGTTACGCGATCCCGCAATTATTTATTGGTGCGCTAATTTTTTTGTCCATGGCTGTATATACGACATACATTATTGACAATACATATGTATTAAGCACTAAGTTCCTTGAAAGAGCAAAGAATAAAAGTATATATAAATCACTTCCAAAAGGAATTAAATAAGACATATGATACAAATAATAAATATTTATGAAGAGAAGGACCACACATAACATACCAGAGAACAGGGATAATAGACGAGCGTACGCGATCATATAGTTTAAAGTAAAAGAAACAGTAAACACAAAAATATATATATAAATTAGGAAATAAATCTTCAATTAGAGAATTTTACTCTAAAAAGGACAAGAATTCTGTGCAGTGAGTTAAAAAAGAAAAAATACTATATCCAGAGCACAAATTGAATTTAAAACGCCAATCTGATATATAATCATTAAAACAAAAATGAGTTTGCTTAAAGCAAGTAATATAAAAAAATTTTTAAGTCAAAATCTACTTAGGCCAATAAAGGAAAATTTTATTTAATTACTTTTTATTAAATAGTTACAATTAATATAAATGTTTGTACATATGACAGAATTACAATATTAAGTGAAAAAATAGAAAGCGATTTTCCTTGCAATTGTTATATTTTCCTTTCTACATAGGGTGTTGGACTATTTGTTTACTATATTTTTTCATTATAATTTAATTTAATTATTCTAATAAAGTAGTATAATAAAAAAGAAAACCCGTTGTCAGAAATTAGGCCATCTCAGGGGGAATTCGAAACCACAACCTTTGTATTAGAAGTTCAACGCGCTATCCATTGCACTACAACACAACGAACGATTTTTCTTTCTATATATGCTGCTGGACTATTATATTTGTTACTATTTATTCATTTCATAGGCCTGCCTTGTAAGGGGGATGATGCGCGAGAAATCTATCGAGGCTCAATGTCCTTCCATTGGCATGGTGTGGAAGTTAGACTGGGTGCCAGTTTGGGTGTCGACCTCGTCACCTGTTCGTGGCCCAAAATTACGAGATCCTAAACCCTTTTCGGGTGAGCTCTGTTCCTTTGGACATTCCGCCAAAAGCCCACGTGTTGCTTCAAAAGGCGATGTAAATCAAAATCAAAGCACCATGAACTACAGGTGACAAATTTCGTAATTCTGAAAGGTCGTGATGGAACGAGAATATCTCCGCTAGCACTTCTTATTCCGAGTGAGTGAATATTAACTTCGCACTGTTCTGCTACACGAGGGCTTTTGGCGACGGACCACGTAATTTTGAACCATGGTCAAGAGACGTGGACGATACCCGAGCTGCCACCCCCTCTCTGAACTACCACACCAACGGGAGGACGTTTCAGCTCTAGACAGATTTAACGTGCATCGCTGCCCTACATGGCGGGTCTTTAGTGGTACTGGGCTCGAACTCATGGCATGCCTGCCATGATCCGATACCTAGACCACTGAGCTACCACAGTCCTACTTATTCCGAAGTTCCACGCATTGCAAACTAGAAAACACTTCCTGCACGCCACTTGAATCAGATCTCGAACACCCAGCTGAATTGAAATATCGTCACCCTCGAGCTTGCGATTATGATCTCTACGCTATCACTGCTGTTATATACAATTCAAGTGTATTACTCAAATGCTAGTTCAATTACACCAAAATTATATGAATACCGTACAAATCCCCCTCTCCCTCCTCAATTTCAACAGCATTGGAATGATTTCTTTTGGAAACAGAAATATTTTAAACATAAGCCACTGAAAAACGAGGCAAGCGAAGGACATTGAATGCGAGCGGAGCACAGCGCGTTTCCCGAAACCAGCATTCCCCTCCCAAAAAAGAATTTTAAACCGACATTTCAGCTTCAGAAAATTACAGTAGTTTTTTTTAGAAAACTTCAAAAATGACCGCATTGAACTATACTATGAATATCCAGCATTGATTCTGACCACACACCGCTTCTTATGAAATGATCCGATATGCATATTCAATAGAAATAACTGAACAGTTTTACTTATCTGCCGGTTCTGGTGCAAAATACATGCATTTAAATTGCTCGTGTATTTTCATCACTCAAGCTTTCCTACATATTAACAACTTGCTGATACAAGTTAATCTTTCATTGCGATAATAGGTTGAAGCTATTTAATCTAAACCGATGAACTGAACACTTCACGCCCAACCCCTAACTGCTAGAGAACGCTCCCACGGAATCATACTTGGCTTTGAAAAAAAAAATAGGAGCAACACCGGGCCCTAGTTTTTTAAAACAAGTTTTACCACACACCAAAGCCGAAGACAACTCCGCCCCCCCCCCCCCAAATTTTAGAGAGAGAAGGGGTGTTTAAGTTAAAATTGCTTTATTTATAAAAAAGCAAGACTTTAAAATGGAACTTTGCAAAATATTTATATCGCAAGTAATACATATATTTAAATGAACCTGTAGAATTTTGTATCCAAAAATTTAAATACTATTAAGGCAAGAAAATAAGAAAGTTTTTAATGGGAGGTCAAGTTTCCATCAAGTTATCCAAGGCGAGAGTTTAAAAAGAAAAAAAATGTTACTTTTTAAAACTCCCGATACTGTACACCAGTACAAAGAAATATCTACCAACCCTAGATAGTGCCATGTACTTTAAAAGGGTCTGATCAAGACTCGTAATTTTAAACTTATTGCACTTAAGTTATCGAAGAATCTGCTAAGTATTAAAATTACTCTTATGTCAAGTGCCTAGTTAACTTGTAATCGAAAGCATATTAATTCCGTAACTAGCAATACTAACTAGTATGTAGCGAGCCACAACTCTAAAAGTCACATCAATAAAAAACAAGACAAAAGGGGTGCATTGAAACCTTTATTAAAAATACATCGTACCTGAAGAATTTTAGAACGAGAACAGTTTGAATTAAAAATACAATGTTAAAGAGCTCAAAGAAATCACATTTCTTACAGTAATTTTACTAAAAGGCCTTCGTCAGAGTTCGCTCAACGAATCTTTAAATACACAGATCTACTGCGCTTGTATTAAAATCGTACAGGCCTTTAAGTACAGAAATCACCACGTTACAGTTGACATTCTAAGACTACAAATATCATCGACAGATTTATATAATCAGTAAGCATAAAGTTAGTTATCCTAATTAAATGGAATTTTGAAAAACCTGCATTCGATATGCACTATTCAGAACAAAAAACTGATGACTGCAAGGCGAATATCTTGTTCTCTGGTATTTCGAATACTTCTTTAGTAAAGAGTCTTTGCAATTGATAAGGACTTTTCTTCATACCAATTTGATGGAAGAGCTTTGCCGCTTCATAATTGGAGCTTACCAGTTTAGCAACAACTCCTTCCTTTAGTTGATCGTCACTTAAAGCATTCATTAAGCCATGCACAAGAGAGCGAGCTGAAGAATAGTCTTCTGCATAAACAGGAGCTATTAGCCAGTGCCCTTGGAGACCTTTCTTCATGCAGGCGTAGCCAGTCACTTTAAGGTTCACATCAATCGAAGGCTCAATTGCCATCAGAGTGAGAGTTCCTGCCTCTCGAATAGTTTCTTTAACAATAGTAGAACGGTCGTATTTATGAACAGAATAGTCGTAATTTATCACATGCTGAACGAGTAATCCTTCAGGTTCGACTACTATAGTAAAAGGAAGCGGACGAGAAGACGCATTGCTGAGCAAAATTGGATTGGTTGCCACATACAAGTCAACAGTCCATTTGGCGGTGAAGGAGAATCCAGCTTTCCCTCTGTAAAATCCCAACATTTTAGAAGCGGAGCTCAAACTCACATTTCTGTTTCCTAAACGGTTGATTGCAGCGTTCCATAGGACACGTCCTAATCCAAGTCCTCTGAATTTAGGTTTGACAACATACATACCAATATAACCATGAGTATCCGAGAGGGCTATGCCACAACAACAGCCGATAACTTCTCCGTTTTCCTCATTTTCTCCTACAAATATTCCAGAAGGATCAATATTCAGCCAGGAGAGTATTTCCGGTTCTTGTCCCATCTCACGGCCTTCATCTCGAGGCAGCGCAATCAATTCGGGAATATCATCGCACCGTAAATTCCGAATGACGAATTTGGTACTGGTTTGATCAAAAGTCATTTTCAGTTCAAGAGATGCGAGTCAATACTTAAAACAAATTCTAAAGTTGTAGAACTGGTTAAAATATTAAATTACGCTACCACTTCACAAAAACAAACGAGGGTAACACGAATTAAAATACTAGAGCAGATAAAATCGACAGCGCGGGAAACTAAAACAATCAAGAACGTAAGTAAACTCTATTTGATCTTGTTTATAAAATGTATGCCACTAGCATCATGGGAAAGTTGGACTGAATTTGAATATAATTTCATCTTATTCACTGTTAATTTCAAGACATAATACATTAATTCAACGTTAGAAAACCTTCTAAAGGCTTTGGTAGCCCAGTGGTCAAGGTATCTGATTATGGCAGGCATGTCATGAGTTCGAGCCCAGTACCACTAAAGACCCACCGTATAGGGCAGCGATGCACGTTAAATCTGTCGAGAGCTGAAACGTCTTCCCGGTGGTGTGGTGTGGTAGTTAGGAGAGGGGGTGCCAGTTCAGGTGTCATCCCCGTCACTTGACCAGGGTTCAAAATTACGTGGTCCGTCGCCAGAAGCCCTCGTGTAGCTGAACAGTGCGAGGTTAATATTCACTCACTCACTAGAAAACCTTCTAGATGATATTTAGTTTCTTGCTATTAATACAATTTGTATCTCTACAGCTTGTATGGTATCACTTAAGAACAGAAAATATGATTAAAGATAACGAGTGATTAAAGCTTACGACCTAAAAGACTTTTAAAAAATATTTGACTAAAATATCTTCTTTTATCAATAATTGTTTCGTTTCCTTCCGGTAATTATTAATAACTATCGAGCAGTTATTAAATAATTATAAAATGCATGAATTAAAAAAAATATGTTGTTTCTCAGAATAAAACATTTGTGGCTGTGGTAGCCCAGTAGTCATGGTCGCAAACTCGTGGCTGACATTGTCTTGATCAGATCCGATAAAATCAGATTGATGATGATTTTTTGTGAACGTTGCATTCTACCAGCAACGCGAGGACTATTGATGACGAATCTCATGATTTTGAAACTCGGTTAAGTGATGAGGACGACACCTGAGCTGGCATCAACTCTTCGAACTTCCACACCGAGTCAACGGGTGGGCTTTGAGCCTCAACAGATTTAACGCGCATCAGCCCCTCCATACGGTGGATCTTCAGTGGCACTAGGGCTTAAACTCAAGACGGTCCAGCCATGAGTCCGTTTCCGTGACTACTAGGCTATCGCGCTTACAATAGATTTTCAAAAGTTAAAAGCAAAGTTATCAGTGAAACAGGATAAATAAAGTGTCTTCAGTAGCATCAGGACTCAAATTCGAGATTGAACAACGCCGACAACGAGTTCGTGACCATGACCACTCGGCTACTGCAGCCCTAAAAATACTGGAATTGATTGCTAGGGTGGCATAATTATTTATGAATCGAGTTTAGCCTTTAGGGATTAAAAAGGACAAACTGTAGCTGAAATGCGTCTAAATCAGTGCTTCTCAAACTTTTGTAGCAATGGTATCTATATAAGCCAATAACAGCCTCCGGACTGAAGTGATCATTTTGGTCCAGTGATAAGTTACGTGTTTATAAATCAGAAGGCACCGAGTTCTATTCACCACATTGGTGACCTTGACGTTAAATTAAGGAAAACGTAACCTTCACGCAGCTGTCGTGGCGCCATCTACCCTCTGCAAGAGAAATCGAAAACCTTCAGA